TCTGGCACCTATTAAGTTGGAACTAAATATACTTGACTTATCACACATGAAAATATATATTCTGACTCAAAATAATGAAAACGTACAATCTTTTTACACTCGCTCTGCTCACCAAATGTACAAAGCATGTACATGTATACAATAAATAAATATTGTCGGTGGCAGTTGACCGTAAAAAAAAAATGGAAAATCAAGTCAGATTTTCTGTTCCTATGTTCCTTCATAGCATTTTCTTTTTACTGCTCTAAACATAACAATTTTTATGTTAATTTGAGGAGAGGCATGTTGTCTAGGGTTTAAGAAAAGTATTAAAGAAGAAAAAACAAACAAGCAAACTTAGATTTTCTTTAATTGATTTTAATTTTTGTAAATCTTACATACTTGTAATGTTTATTGTATATTTGTGTTATTTTGTAGCAGTTCGTTTGTTTGGATTTTATACTTATAAATATCTTATATCTTATATCATAGGACCCAAGACACGTCCCCCTGTTTGTAATGCTATTATATTGTCATGTATTGATTTTGAATATTCATACATAGGATTTTGAAAATACATACACCAATCTCGAGTTGGTTTTTAATAATGAATTACATCGAACAATCAGTTTTTACTGTGATATAACAACATAAGCATTGTGACATAGGAAATATATGGGGAAGCGACGAATTCTAAAGTTGTCCATATCTTGTCCTGGCTGGTACGCAGGGGGGTCTCAACCTACAAATTTGGGAACAGACATTTTGTTGGGGTTTGAAAAACACCTCCCATTCATATATTGGTTGATGTGAAAATCCCTACCCATTCACATATATATTTAATAAAAGACATTTGAACGGCAAACGCCTGAATCTGACAGATAGAGGTCAATTTGTCGACAAAAAAAGTACCCGTATGTAAAATGTTTACGCCCACAAACAGCGACACCTATAATTTTTTCTACGGCGTCTTTGAGAACGATGTTCCGTTCTGTAGTAAATTAAAACATTAAATTAACTAAAACATAGTAAAGTAAGTGTATAAAACTAATTTTAAAAAGATATATTTGCACATGACTAGTTATGCATGATACGCTGGCAATGTGCGCAATGTCCTTTAATCCAAGATTCAAAATTAGTTTGTTTGCTATGTCAAAATGGCGGATTCCAATGTTTACATTTTTCCATCGATCTGAGAGCTGACACAAATTCGTATCCAATCATTAATTTGCATATTATGTACTGTGTAGGGTAGCTTATCCAATGGGATTTACTGTTATAAAGTGGCTATACGTTACCATCCATCGTTACAAAAGAGCCATGTGTTTTGTGTGTATAGCTCAGGAATGATGTGTATTCAATATTTACGGTAAATAATCAATGTTATGTTCATTATATTTCCATGCATACACAAGTCATAGCAGCAAATGCATTTTTTATAGAACTTATAAGGTAAACAGACATGTTTAACTGTCTGCTTTAGCAAAAATTCGTGTAAATAAACCTGATGGGTCGTTTTGAATATTCAAGCACAGCAGACAAACACGTGGTAGATTATTGATGTTTGTTTACCTAAATTGCACGTTGTTGTTTCTAAATACTTAGAAATAACCATTATCGTGTTATTATTGTTTAACAGCAGATAAAATTAATTTTACAATTTCATTTTACTACTTTCAAGAGTCATATAATGCCTAAGAAATAGGTCTAGCTAGGTCCAGGGACTTCCTTTACTACTACTAGGTCCTTAAAAAATGAGGCTGTAATAATGTACATGATGTAAATTACCATATTTACATTCCAGCATTTTTTTGCATTTGATATATTTCATATACATGTACATGTATGTACATAGAGAACAATAGAGTAAATGAACATACATGGGTTTAATTCCCACCCTACATGTAGGTATTAATTTTAATACTCATTATAGGTTGGAGCAAATAGGGCAGATTGCAATTGACCATAATGTTGTGTCTAAAAATGCTAATAGATGTGGCCAAGTCCTCAACATCCTTTTTTCTAAGTATACAGCAGCTCCTCTATGGATTAGTAAGGGAACACTTTACATATAGTCCAGTGGCTAAGTCCTGTCTTTTTTGTCTCTATTATTTCCTTATTTATATTATTATATTTCTTATATTCTGTTGTACATGTAGTAAGCTAAAAAGCTATCATTACTCTTTTTCCTCAGCTGCCTGATAACAATGAAATGTATTCATTGTTGATGTCTGTACAGTGATTTATAATTTAACTGCTAACAGACATTTGGACTCTGATGGATAGTTTCTATACTTTTATCTCATTGGCAATCATACCACATCTCTTTATTTTAGTACAGGTTAAGTATTTAAAGTAAGTGACTAACAAACATTAAATCATTTGAAAGAAAAATTCTGCAATGATTTCAGTTTACATATATCAACAGTAAAATTTGGTTATATACATGTAAATTGTGTCATTATGTTTATAATGACCACTGTAATTGTGAACTGTCATGACTGTCTTGTACAAAATATATTTGAATAAGTTCCCTAATGAATAGTATAAAGATGTTTAAAAAAACAAATGTATGTACATTTAAAATGATTTTACTAGTTTCAGATCTATCAATTCAAAACTAATTGATGTTTTTTTAATTAATTGAATAATAACAACTTATTGCAATAATCATGATTATCATGATATTAATACAAACTAGCATTCTTATATGTGATACATATATAACTTAATGCAGCTTATTCTGAAATTGTAATGTATGTCATAAAAAAGAGATTTTTTGTAAAAGTTACCAAAATTGTCTGTATTTCAACCACTTTTTAGGCCTAGGAACCTTAAATTTTTAAGTGTAGAGGTTGACAAGCTAAGTCATGACTGTAAATTCAGATATTATCATGAGGTTTTTTATTAAAGTAAATTATGTGATTAAATTGATTATCTCAATAAAAAGAACTCGCATTCTGATTTGATACTAGGAGATTTTTTCTGATATCAGAAAAATAAATATCTCATTGTTGTCCATTCTTTAAAAAATTTCTGAACATACTGTACATGTATTTAAGTCAGCTTTATTTTTGTCTGAGACTACTATAACATGGGAAGTGACCAATCTCTATGTTATAGTAGTCTCAGGTTTTTGTTTTGTAGCATTTTAGAGCAGTTCAATATGCATTTGGATTAAATTTGAAGTTGATTCAGTATATTTTATGACATAATAACACACTTTTATTTAAACAAAGCATTTTCAGACTTTATTTACAGATCAGCTTAGCTAATCATTCATTATTCAATCAATAATTTAATTAAAGGACTCAACTCCAACTATATGTCCCCATTCAAATGCATTGGTTGTCGATAAAAAGAGGGGATTCCAATCGCCGGACCCCCGGGAGATCCGCCACTGTATCTTATAGCAGGTATAATATAAAAATAAATTTGTACTTCTGTCCACTGGAAATTGACTTTTTTTTCATTCAATGTAAATGTTCACAATTTTGGAGCATGTATTGTCTACATTTTCTTTTTTTCCATATTGTATTTTGATGTAATGCAAAGTTAAATTCTATTGTAACACAAGTTCTGCTGACAAATGGCTGATAAACCCCTCTTGTATGTAATTATTTGGCATGAAATGAAATATGTTTTTTCTGTATATGGAAATTAGGAATAATCCACCCTCTCTTTATAAAAGACCTGGATCTGCTTAAAAGTCTTAGAATTTTCCATTGTTACATCAGGAATAAAGGCTACCAATAATCATGCTTGACGATCATTGAGGTCACACATAAAGAACCCATCTCTTTGCAGATCATCCCAGCAAACACAAAAACATCTTTAAAATGTTTTTAAAATGTTGTGTCTAATGTCATGAAAATATTACAAAAAAACGTGAGAAAAACATTAAATGTATGGTAGAATATATATCGCTAAAACGTTTTATAATATATTTTCTTAAATATTTGCATAATATAATTAAAATGTTGTAAAGAAATATCATGATAATGTGAAAAACAATGGCGTATAAAACATTTTGATAATCTTTTAAAAAATATTTTCTAGAAATATTTTCTGAACGTTTGAAAAACATCATGAACATCAAATAATGTTACAAAAATGTTTTTTGGATGTTTTCTTGCAAGTGAGACTGTGCCTAAAAAATGTTTTCAAAATGTTTTAAGAAGATGTTTTTGGTTGATATCTGGATCATATGAATATAAAAATTTCCGTACTTTTGATTGAGTTTCCTGCTTTTTTAAATAACAAATCATTAGTTAAATTAATTTATACACAGTGATTAATTCTATATACAAACAAGAATAAATCAGTTGTTTTGCTAAGCATATGAAATTCACAATTCAAAGTCTCTAAAAACAAGAAGTATCTACAAATTTTGACACATCCAAAATGGCAGACACAACTCATCATGGTCAAGCCACTTACCAAATATGAAGTCATTCTGTTCATCAGCATTACTAATTAAAGTAATGAAAAATTTGAGAACATTCAACATTTTGAAATACAATGTATAAGCAAACAGGAAACATATGAAACAGGTGCCAGATACAAAAATGTTCACACATCACAGTTCATCACTATCAACTCCAGCAGCTCATTAAATATGAACTCATCTTTATCAGCAGTTTTGGGAAAACAGTGATGAAAATATTTGTTTGACAAAATCCGACAAATATAGGTGGACAGACGACAGACAGTGCAAGAAAGCCCACATTCCAACCACAATGGTATAATGTTTAGTTTTTCACTCTCAACTATTATAACCTATCTTATACACATCATGCATATGTCAACCTGAACATGCATGACATATATATGCCATTGGACATTATGCAAACATTATACACATTTTTAAGTTCAAGTAACATTGACTAAAACTTCTGTCCCAAATTCAGATTTTTCTATACAACTTCTCTTTCTAAAATAAAACGCTACACTTCTAATAGGGTTACATCTTAAGTCAATAATCATTGATAATTGGCTGAAGAGATGAGAACAAAACACCATTTTACATCAACTATTTGATTTATTTAAGAATACATTGAAAAAGTCAATCAATTGTCTTATTCAAAATCACTTGGAATGTCTTGTCGTGTCTTATATCTTTTTCTTGCTGTGCCATGCTTCTGAAAAAAAAATTAATCTTACATTCATATATAAACTTCTTGCACATTCCTTTATTATAGAACGATTCACGTTGCCTGAAGGATATACATCCCCCCCCCCCCCCTTTAAAGTTTTGAAACAAATAACGATGATAGTCTGTCGGAAGGGGACGACAAATGGCTGACCGTGTTAAGAGAGAGCAATATGCCACGCTGAACTTCATTTAGTTATTAAAAAAAAAACACATAAAAAACTTTAGACTAGATATGTGTCCAGTCAAGAGTCTTATTTCATTATACTCGTTGATTGTTGTCTATCATATTTTTTTTCTTTTATTGTTTTGTATAAATCAGGCTGTTGTTTTTTCTTGTTTTTTTTTTAGTTTTCATTAAATGCATTGTATCATGTAGGGGGCCTTTAAAAGCCCTGCTACATAATGTCATTAAACATCTTATTGTCCTTTTTAAGTGTTAAACTCTGTAGAGTGACATAGTTTATAACTTGTCATTTGTATCTAAGGGCATATGATACAGTCCTTGAAGTATACTTTAGGCACATAATAACTTATCGAAGTGTTACGCATTGTTTTTGCAATGATGATAATAATATAATTTAACTTCCGAGAAACACACAGATGTTATTAAATTAGTTGTTTATATGTATTTGAAATACTTCAAAGGAAAGCAAATATGTTGTTTATGAAAGCACACTGTTGGACTAAAAGATTGATTTAAATAAACAACTTGTTTCTATTTTGTCACAAAAAAAATAATTTATTCAAATATCCAGATATCTTTTCTGTATTGTATGCCCTTAATCTTGAATGTAATGCATTGTTTATGCTAAATATTTGAATTAAATATGGAATAACAATTTTTTTTTTACAGTAATTCTGTATGAAAATCTTACTTCAAAAAAAAATTCTCCTGAAAGGTTGTAGACATTCCAAAGAACCTGCGCCACTTCCAAATTGTAAACCTGCATATTGAACTTGTCCTTTGTGGCTTTTTTTTTAGCTCCTGTTAAAAAATAAAGGATACATTGTATGTACATTGTGTGTATGAAGCAATAAATATAATTTTAAGCAACAGTTTATATTATCTTGCTTGTACTGAAGTCTTACATAGTCTCTGTAATGTTCATTAACCTGTTAAGGGAAATTTAATTTACTGTTCTGCATACATACATTGATTTTACTAGAAAAAAAATCTCCTAGAAGTATAATATAGGCACATAATAACTTATCGAAGTGTTACGCATTGTTTTCGCAACGATGATAATAATATAACTTAACTTCCGAGAAACACACAGATGTCATTAAATGAGTTGTTTATATGCATTTGAAATACTTCAAAGGAAAGCAAATATGTTGTTTATGAAAGCACACTATTGGACTAAAAGATTGATTTAAATAAACGACTTGTTTCTATTTTGTCACAAAAAAAATAATTTATTCAAATATCCAGATATCTTTTCTGTATTCTTGAATGTAATGCATTGTTCATGCTAAATATTTGAATTAAATATGGAAAAACAGTAATTCTGTATGAAAATCTTACTTCAAAAAAAAATTCTCCTAAAAGGTTGTAGACATTCCAAAGAACCTGCGCCACTTCTAAATTGTAAACCTGCATATTGAACTTGTCCTTTGTGGCTTTTCTTTCAGCTCCTGTTAAAAAATAAAAGATACATTGTATGTACATTGTGTGTATGAAGCAATAAATATAATTTTAAGCAACAGTTTATATTATCTTGCTTATACTGAAGTCTTACATAGTCTTTGTAATGTTCATTAAGCTGTTAAGGTAAATTTATTTTACTGTTTTGCAAATACATACATACATACACTGATTTTATTAGAAAAAAAAATCTCCATATTCAAATGGTGCTTATATTAGTGTTATTGTAACTTGTTTGTGTGCCTCAGAAACAAGGTATTGAGTCATGCTTATTGCAATAGTTGTTGTTGGTTTATGTCTGTCACATTTCTTTTTCATAATGTGTATTTAATGTAGGCAGTTAGTTGTTTTGTTTCAATTGTGTTGATAAAAATTTAACATTTGTTTGTCAAAGTGGACTATATGGCATTGGTTTTCTCAGCTTTGAAAGCCGTACAGTGACCTATAATTTCTTTTATCCAAGTCATTTAAATTCTGGTGGATAGCTGTCTTATACACCTTATCGCTATTTCAGTATTTGGAAATCTGTCCCGCTTGAACTTTTTACGTCAGCATACGTCATACAATATAATACACCTTATCGATATTCCATCTTGACCCGAGAATCTATCCTGCTTGAACTTTTGACGTCAAACAACAATCACTTTTCCATTGTGGCATCAGATATTTTTTATGATGACGTCAAAATTTTAAGGGAACTTGTGACAGTTGTGTGATGTCCAGTAATGGCGGACAAATAGCATAGCGATAAGGTGTATTACTTTCAATTGTGGTGTCAAATATTTTCTAATATGACGTCAACATTTTACGGGAACTTTTGTGATGTCCATGGCCAGTAATGGCGGACAAATAGCGATAAGGTGTATTGGCAAATCAAACACACAAGCCACATATCCTTATAATTTTTTTATATCAATGAACAAATTCATAATTGGTGAATGTAGATGCTTGAACAGTGGCGTATTTAGGGCCCCGATCCCCTTATGGAGCTACTTATAAGATAAATGTATAGACTTTTTACAAGTATCACTCCAAACGTTTGCTTGCCTTGGGCAGGGGCCCCCTTTTTTCAAAACCTTCATCCGCACCTCCAGAAACAGATGTAATTTGGTTCCGATTATGATTGAACACACACAATGAATGCACAAGTTTCACCTTAACAGATTAATCATTCTTACCAAGTGAGTATATATCGCGTAACAAACAATTTTCTTGGCTCTCTTTGTTGATATCCTGTCTTCGTTTCGAAATTCAAATTTCAAAATCATTTCCGGTGATAAAACAAAAGTCGATTCCGGAAAAGGTCGGTTTTCCGTAAGGCATATAAACGATACGAAAATTGAACTTAGTACAGTTACAGTTTTCATTTCTTAATTTCTAAAATATACACGAACGAAATGAATAAACATTAAAGAAAGGTGATTGTTTATTAATACATTATTGCTTAATTTAATGTTGACTCTTTTGAATTTTAATATAAGAAGGAATAAAATCTGACTTCAAGGATCTTCAAGATTCAACCATAGTATCTTGCTTGTCATGATATTGATGAAATGTACAATATCTTATCCTGAAAAAAACGAGATAATTCCACAAAACGTTGTTTGTGGGGTTTTTAATAAAGTTTAAATAAAATGTTATTTTCATATCCGTAAAATGTTGCATAAAATATCAGTAAGACTATTAAGTAATGTGTATGTCAGAATATTTTATAGAAAACATTTAGCTGATATTTTTCAGATGTTTTATGTAAAACATTTTAATTTTACGTTATAAAACATTTTATGCAAATAGCAAAACTATGTTTTCTGTAAAACATTTTTTTGCAGAATGTTTTTTGGATATTTGGAAAATATTTACTTTAAATGCTGTTAAAATATAAAATACCAATTGAAGAAAATATTATTTTTTTTATATTATAAAATATCTACGGGATATTTTAGAACAATGTTCGAGAACATGAATAAAAGATATTAGCAAATAATATTTTGTTAATGTTGTAAAAACATTTTACTTAAATGTTAGAAATAAAACATTTCAAAAACAATAAAATAAACATTTTTTTTATGTTTAAATGATATCTTATTGAAATATTTTGTGAGAGACGTCCATATGACATTTAAAAAATGTTTTTAAAATGTTGTGTGTTTGCTGGGATAGTAGAAAAACAAAGATACAATGTAGTTGGTAACATAAATGTATTGTTTAAAAATATCAAGAGAAACTTTCCCATACAGAATCTGTCAATAAGTTATTTTTCCACTCTTAACAGTGAAATCTTAAATATGTAAATTGATCGGCAAGCCTCGCATCTTGAAAAATAAAATGTCTGAAGGAGAGAACTATTGTTTCACAATTGATGCTGTGTTAGAATTTATAATATTACTCTTTTTTTCCCCATATGATCAGCATAAAAAGTGACAATCTATAAGTTCTTCAGTCTAAATAACTTTATTAAATCTCATTTCTGATGGAACATTTTCAGTGCGCCAGATTAACAACTTTCTTTGTTAGATACTTATGTAAATATAAAAATTCAAGTCTAATTTTAGAGTGAAATTTTAATATATTTAAACAAACTGTTCTATAAACAACCAACATGTACAAACACTGAGTTTATTTTCATATCCTTTCTAAGAATATTGATACAAAGAAAGTAAAACAAAGACTTGTATCATTCCATCTACCAAAAGGGTGTTTGAGAATATACAAATAAGTTCAAGTTTCAGAGAAAAGTCAGTTATCTATAATTTTCTTCTTTGGAAGTTTTAAAAAACCTGTTTTAGGGTACTTGAAAAAATGCCACATTCAACCATTCCATGACTATTTTAATGTTACAAGAGTAGAGGAACATGAAATATTGAATGGTTATTCAAGAAAGTGTCGAAATATAACTACAATCATTAATTTTACTCGAATTTACTGTTGTGAACTTGCAATTTCCTACGACGCGTGTACGGAGTTATCTCCCTTTGGTCTCCACTTCGCCACGATTAAGCTGACACAATTTCGTGTCCAGTGAATTTAGGATCGATTATCATCATAATTTAACGTAAAAAATGGTTTTGCTTCATATTTTATACCCCTCAACACGTTACCATACCTATTTAAGGAATAATTAAGGATTTTCCGTGGACCTACGCAAATTTTCAGAAAAAAAATTTCACTTCACTCGTAAATTTATAATACTTTAACAACACTTTTTAATAATTATTATAAAGAATAATGAAGCTTATTCAATCTAGAATTGAACGCTTTGACTTTTATTGATGTACGAGTACAAATAAGACGATACGAGTCAAAAAACCACCAGGCATGCACGTTTACCAAAAAACCGTAAACTCTTACCTTTTGTCACGTGACCAATGTCTTGACCTTAGAAGCCATTAAATCGTTTGCCGTCCAACTGAGAATCAAAACCCAATTATAAACATGTATATTTCCCAGCTATCATGACATCTGATTTCAATGAGATGTTAGCCAGATGGGATCCGTGACTCATATTATGTGATGAAAAGACCAAAACACAGTTTTTACAGACATCCTAACCAGTATTTTTGCTTATTTTTTCAAAGCACATGCCAAGGGGACCTGTACATTCTGAAATCTACAGGCCCACTTGGAATTTACCAGGCCAAAATTTTTAACAGTCGAAACACACTAAACCTGAATAGAGGTTGAACACAAACTACTTCTACCTGTTTAACTTTGATGTCTATATAAGTTTGGGTCAGGCATGTCAGGTATTAAATCAGTTTAAGATCATTTGTTTTTATTTATTTTACTATATTAATTTCTATTTTTACTCTGGTAAATGATATTTTTCATGCTGTACACAATATAGACCAATAGCCATCGTTTGTATATACAATGTAGTGTTAGGGAGCTACAACTTGATTTTTAGGGGGGGGGGGGGGGGGGGGGGGGACAAGGATGAAATTTGAAAAAAGGCGGGACAGGAGTTTTGAGTGAAAAAAAAGGCAGGATGAGCAACTTTGCAAAAAAAAAATAAAAAAATGGCAGGATGACAATTTATGTAATAAAAGTCGGGATAAACTAATAAAAAAGGCAGGACCGATTAGAGTGAAAAAAAAAAGGCAGGACAGAGATTACAACTAAAAAAAAATGCAGGACAAAATTTTTCACCGTAGCACCCCATAGATATATTTGACTCCAAAAAAAGTGACCCATACCAGCTGTAGCTCTGGGTAATACCTTCACAGGAAGAACCCCCCCCCCTCCCCCGTTGGCTGGTAAGAGCTGAAAGAAATGGTTTTGCCCAAGGCAGGAGGAAAATTATTCTCTGCAACTCAAAATGCAGGAATAAACTTTGTACAAAGTAAAAATGAAACTTTGCCAGTAAAAATTAAGCATGCGTAGCAACAGATCAAAATGAAAAAAATAGTTCTATCCGTCAACCCCCACCCCCAAACAAATATCAAATGGTTGTTTCCTAAAAACTAAACTGACCGTGACCCTGAACTTACCATAACCAATAAAAGAAGATACTTTACCCTTACAGGTTCCCCTGTAGTAAACTAAAATTGCCCTAAGTTTGAACACCATATTGATCCATATTCAACTTCATGATCATCATACCATATTAACCAAATGAAATGTGAACATCTTTGTTTTAAGTCGTAATGCTTTACCTTAGATCTCCAGTTTCCTTGATCTGTTGACAGTGCTCACTCTCAGTTCATAAGTTGTCATCAAAATGAGTAGATTTTGAAGTTGTCGTCAGCAAAAGATTGAAACCGTTCTCATTGCGGGCTTCCGTTGACTTCTGCGACAATAAAGCATTTGTGTGAGTTGCCAGTTTCATTTCATTGATTATTTGTTGATTCATATGCCCTGGATATTGTTTGTAAGGTTAAATCAACAACAAAAAGTATTGCTGACAATATCTGGCAGCGTCCTTTTGTTCTGTTCTGTTCTGTACAGGCATTTTCCTCCGTTATATATCGGAGCACTCCCACTTGGGATATAGGTTTAGCACTCAACAAATATTTACAAAGATATTTACATAGTGTGGTGGGGTGCTAAAATTTAATAGTTTTATATACAGATGAGAACTGTGGATTTTAAAAATAAATATTAATAATTATGTGCTATTTACATCATTTATAGTTCTACCTAGGTTAAAATTTAGGATTCAAGTAATCTTTAAGATTCTTTTAATGAGACAGAGGGATGTTTATACCATATGTTTTAAAAGTAAAAATTACTAAAATATAAAAAATAAAAAGATAAAAATAAAGTTAATTAAAACATAAAAAAGGGAATAAATTAAGTCAGTATGGTATCAGCTTTAGACGAGATAACCAAAAATAAAATATATCAGTAACTATAAATTTATTATATGTCGTAAAATTTGGAAATATGGTGACCCCCTGCCATAGTCTAAGCATATAATTAGATGCAAGCAGCAGATCTAGTCATAGATGGGAGCAGTTAGCTTGGCATTCCATGCAGACTGCTTGGTCCATCTGTCCTATTTTGTATATGCATTGTATTAGTACGTATAGTCCGATACAGTAATATTGATGCTGTTTAAATGTAAATTCATATTGTTGAGTGTCTTTAGGAAAAGCACTTAGATGTTTCTACAGTTTCAATTCAGCCTCTGATTAATGTATCATTGTGATTGTAGTTCGGTGCGTTTCTTATGCATTTGGTGACAGAAATTTTGAGAATGTTTTTTTATTTCTTTCAGGTCATCTGTTTTTAGATGAGATAAGGTAGTTGTTGATAACTTTGAGCAGTCCATTATAATTTGAAGCACAGCCTCCTGTTTATAATTACCTTACCATCTCTCCCATTCAACACGGTTAAAGATAAAATCTTGTTCATCTGTTTTTGTCTAACACTCGTCAGAGCCTCACATTCAAGCAAAAAGTGCTTTATATCCTCTTCAGCTTTGGTACAGAGCTCACATATTCCAGAGTTTGATTTTTACTAAATTTTGCCTAAGATGATTGAAGCATGTAGGATCCGGTTATTAGCCTACTTTTGACCTCTGCTGTTCGAATGTCATTCTGATTGTTTCTGACAGATTTCCAGATATTGTGTGGGTTTTCAGTAGGGTTTTCTTGGATTGACAAGTATTTAATTGTTGTTTTTGTTAAGCATTTCTCTTTCCAAATATTTACCAGTATCTATTTATGGATCTTTTCAGCATATTTTTCCATTTGTATTTTGATGGCGGGTTTTCTATAATATCTTTTGGATTTGGTAAGCTATATTTATTTAAGATTTTTCCTATTCTGTTTATAAATGATTCTGTGAAGTCTTTTTCAATTTCTAGTTCCCATTGTAGAATGTTCTTTTCTATTGCATTTTCAAGCCGAGAAATTGTAAGAAATAGAGAAAGCATATAGTAAAGTGGAACAGTTTTAGCCGTGAAAGGAGTTCCTATGGGAAATTGCATTGTCAATAATTACAGAAATGCA